AAATAGGCTGCTCGACGAGAGTCACTACTAAGGACGGTACTAAAGAAAAACTCGGCTATACTAACCGGCCGGACATAGGCTTAGTTACACATACCATCGGACGGCGAGTGTCCAGTGGGATTTTCTAGGTCAGCGAACGATGGAAGGGTGGGCAAACTTTCCTGAAAGAATAATATACATATTCCAGTACTGAGCTATTCGAGGCATATAATCAGCAACGAAGCGTGAAGTACAACATAGGAAGAATTCACAGCAATGTTGAAGTGAATCTGCACGACTATTATAGAAGTAATAGGCCATCGGTCACACGACAGGGGGAGAGTTCACCTGAGTTGAGTACTGCATATCCATGCCACGACCATGAGTGATGAAGAGAATATCCTTGAGGCAGTCGTCACGGGACTCCGGCTGAATATGAGAGCGATAGCACAAGCCACAGATAAAAATATTGGAGACCGACATCAGTAACGTAGATCTGCATTCCCATGCAAAATACGCCGTGCAAATTGTAGGTGACAATCTGGCCAATGCTCGTCCCTGAAATTCGACCAACTCCAAAGTGCTATCCAACTGACCAATGCCTCACCTGTCTTCACAACGGGCCCCAGAAGGAGCTCCATGAGCCCGGGAGCATCCGGACCGATCACTCTGATATCGCAGCGCTCCAAGGCACTGTCTGGTGACACGCCTTCGAGAGGCTCCAGATCCCACACCGAGCGAGCTAGCGGGTCTGTCAATGTTGTACCTATACCGGTCTACATGCGACAAGCTGGAATTGGTGGATGCTTACTTCTAACCAGCGCGACATCTCTATCGCTGTCGTCTTGAGAAGTGGTGTCCATCTCCGCAACAACAGTTGAGTTAGCTGGAGTAAGTTGCTCCTCTATGCTGGGGGTGTTCCAAGAATCGTTGGGCCCGGTCTGTGAGAGCTCAACAAGCTCACGCACGTGAGTTTCCGAGTAGCCCAACAGGTGGAGGAGGACTCTCAAATCTCCCTGCTGTCGGGAGTTGAAATGAATCTAATACGCGATCGATCATGTCCAGATCGGAGCCATTCAAACGACGCTGAAGTAAGTGAGAGCTCGGCAGCCCCGCATACCCGATATCCGCACTGGTCAAACAAGTAGTCCGCATGGACGTAGTCGCCCACAACGATGACGTTCTCCTGACTGATGTTCTCTCTGTCCGCGATGAGCCTCATATAATCGACCTGATCGAGATATTGAAGCCAACATAGAAATCTTGAAACTCACCTTACGGAAGTTGTCCATCAACGTACCATGCTTGCCAGTTATCTTGTCGGTGTTTGGGTCCACCTCGATCTCCGTAGCAAGGGCGTAATCAAGACCGAGTTCTGACTGTACGTGCCTGCGAGGGAACAGTTTCAAAAGTCGGTGCTTATCACAGGCCTAGAACCTCAGCCTACCTTGCAATTGACTGTGAAGCGCTAGAAGTTATCAACGCTAGTTTGAAACCGAGGTACCTGAGCACCGACTCGCAATACTCACTTGAACGTCCGAGGCTCACTTGAGTGCTTGACAGACCTTTCTTGCCCCCTTGGTCAGCCGTAACTGTGCAATGGTTCGGGAGACCACATCACGCGAAGCCCCTGAAAAGGAACACGATCGCAACAATAGGGAAGAACTGCGAACCACCTTCAAGGGCTGCAACGAGACGATGACTAGTCTCGTTCACGGAGAGCTTCTGCTTCTCACACTGAGCTCTGATGCCTTCGTAATCTTTGCCGGCCTGAGGGAAAATGAAAAATAATACAACAAGGGAGAGTTCGAAAAGCCTCGAAGACTTCTCTTGGCGCTATGACGTGTATTGGCTCACCTCTTTGAGTAGTGTCATCAGTACGTCATTGGAGACCAAAACCTCGGAAAGACCGAAAACGACGAGCGACTTCGGCTTGGGCTTCGAAGGAGCTTCGTAAGGCCTACAGAGAGCTCACCACATCACTAGATAGGATCCACAAGGGAAATGACAAAGATCACGGCTATTCGAAATTGTTCTTATCAAGTGGGAATCGGAGTCGTATATAGTAAGGAAACTTATCTACTTATACTTCTCTAGGTGTAGGAAATTTTCTCACGATGTCACCACAACACGGAGAGAAACACATGTCGCAGCGCCGCGTCTCGTGAAGCTGACCTGACAACAACTTCCGCGCCAACTCTGTGACACACTTCCTGCAGGAGAAGGTAGAGCCTTTGGCGGCTCCCCATGGGATGCGATGCAGCATTGTAGATATCTGAGCACATCAATCACTAGCATGGCGACTAGGATTCGGGCTCACCGTCCTTGATAGGCTCCTCTGGGTGGAAGTCCCCGGTCTGGCGAACTCTCAGCTGCAACGAGTGCACCCACAAGGGAGCATCCGGGTTGAAGTGAACTACTGACACAACACTCCAGCCCTCGCGGGTTGCCTGATAAGGAAAACATCAATACCAAAAGACAACGAAGTAGACGATATTATACTTACGATCGAGCACACATTGAGGAGCAGCGCTGGAGGTAGGCATTCAACTACTGTTCCCTTTGGAGGGTGATAGACGACCTGAGCAAATAGCCACACGGTGATCCGCGAAGTCAACGGAGCTTCTAACCAACCTGGATAAGGCAATCCTCGGACCCACAGAGACCATCGTCTCCTTCCAACGAAGCGGGTCTCTCTCCGCCCTCCGAATCAGTTCCACTGTCATCGTGAAGCTGTCGCACACTGACAGAAACGCCCATGCGGTTGGCCGGCAGCAGTAGCTCCTTCGTGAGAGCAGCCACGTGTTCATCGTCAACCTGGCCACAGGCATCAAAAACGGAGTCGATACCGCATGAGCCTACCTTGACCAGCAAACTTAACATGAGGAGCTCATCGATGCATATCTGGGAGATATCCAGCAAAGTGCTCTGATCGAAGTCTGCAATAGTCTGGCACATGAGATGTGAGATGCCCGGCTGATCCCGACCGCGAATGCTGAACAAGTAGAGGCTGCTACCGGGTACACCGATCTCTGCCGTCAAAGGGGTCACTGAGGCTGAGAAGAAGTTCCTAACCACTATTCAGTCTGGTCGACGAGTTACCACTAAGAGTAGTGTCCGCGCTGTCCCTATGCGAGTGAGACATACGACGTTGCGGATGCAATTCCCAAGTATCTGCCGTTGACGCCATATAAGGTGAACTTAAAAACAGACTGAACGAAGCGACATCGATGCCCATTCACACTAGTCTTCAAGACTAAACGTATGCATCAGCTGTATTAATGGACGTCCCACTAGGAAGGAGGGTATCTTGCTCACCGTTGCCGACTCGGGCAACTTCCAACATAGGTTGGGAGCACAATATTCTGTCTTAACAAGAAGACATACAGAGTCAATGCTAGCTAGTTAACCGAGCTAGACTCCCCAGGAGTGACTTGCCGGAGCTAGATTGTAAGAAGTGAGCCGGATCGCGACACAAAGGCTGTCTCCCCTCGAAGTTGCTGCCACCACGGAAGCGTCATTAAGCCGAGAACTAAGCCTGCCAAGGGCGCGACGAGTAGACCCTCAAGAAGAACCTCTACCGAGATCGACATACATGAAGATCCTCCCATAGTGACGCGCACTCAACCAACACGACACCGAGCAGAGGGAGCAGAAATCATGATGAGGTCTCGAGTAGATGCCTATGTGACAGCATCTACTCGTAACAACTTCCAACTCGAGAATATCTTCGACCATCATTGCCAAAAGGAACCAATCGTAACTCACAACTGGTGTTGTTGTTGGTCTCTTACAATTTATAAGAGACCTGTGACATGCTCCCGTACCGATAAGGGTCATCCAATCTCGAGGGCTGGCGAACCCACAGTAGGTGGAGGTGACGCAATAGACTTACCGCCGACAATCTGATGGAGTGAGACTACTTCCATTCTTGTTCAGACTGATCGATCGACCGTTGGTACCGTGAGCGTCACATTGTCGCCTTCTCGCTCACGAGGTGGTACGGGAACCCAATGGTAGCCGGCGCCCGGAATACCGTCAAGATGGCTCGTGCATAAACTTATCATAGGAAGCAGACCTCGATACAGAATGCACACCGCATACCTATCCAAGCTCACAACCCGAGTACAACATAAGGAGAGAGCAACAGATGTAGTCGAAGACCAAGTCCATCGCTGCGAATACTCACAGCTACCTCGACGAGGACCAACCGAGCCACTGCAGTCTTCGTATTATCAACGTGTATCTCATAAGAGTGCTGATTATCTCACTCAACTCACACATACACAACCGCATTTGGCAGAACCAGAAACAAGCCACTACAACACAGTGGATTCATGACGTCATTCGCGCCGTTCGAGGCTCCACACTGGTTCCCCTCATCTCAAGAGACATACTCTCCGTGTCGGCCTCTCTGTGAACCATGCCAGATCTAGAGCTGAAGTTCCTGCCCATCACGGTTCCCATCACCATCGCAGCACCGAACCACCACTGAAGCGAGGAGTATTCCGAGGCGATCACAGCAGCAGCAGTCCACCGACTTGCAGAATGCTCTTTGAGTGCTTCTTAGACATCCACTCTGCACCCTGCAGTCTCCTCGCTTTCCATTCAGCCTTCTCAAAGCCGTTGTTGTGCCTGACCAGGGAATCCATACCCACCGCAGATCGACTCGATAGCAGGAGTTGTTCTGTTGACTACGCGCGCCACAGTAGGAACGACGAGTTCAGGAACCAACATGTTGTGAACACTTGGTGAAGACCGCCCAGGTAAGCCGCCAAACCTACAGAGAAATAGGAAAAACTCCGACCGAGAAACCTCATTTTTCATAGAAAGCCTCACCAAAAGCCGCCACTCCTGTTATTGCAATTGGCACACTCTTGCCCTCATGACAGAATGCATAATTAACGCAGAAGATGCATACCACAGAGAGAGCTGAAAAGCGAAGCATAGCAATCACAAGTTCATAAACTGATAACTAG